CTCCCGCCATGTCCGAGATCCTCCCCTACAGCGAGGACAAGATGGGCCGCTTCGGCGCAGACCCCGAGGGCTCCGACCTCTCCTTCAGCTGCCGCCTGCAGGACACCAACTCGTTCTTCGCGGGCAACCAGGCCAAGCGGCCCCCCAAGCTGGGCCAGATCGGCCGAGCCAAGCGAGGTACGCGGCCGGCCCCGGAGTCGCCGCCTGACCCAGAAACCTCGGCCGGGCGCTCCCGGCGGCCGCTCCCCGCCGAGTGGCTCAGCTCTTGCCGCAGACCAGCGCAGCGAGCCGCTCTCCGCCCGGGTTTGGGGTGGGGGGCTCCCGCTGCAGTGTCGTCCCCGTTCCCCCTCTCACGGGAACGCACTGCCCCGGATTCGATGCTCGCCACCTCTGGACGCAGAGCCTGGTACCTGGGCGAGGGGGAGGGGCTGGCCGGGGCGTCTGCGGCTGCTTGCAAGTGGGGACACGGGTGACGGCCGGTTCTTTGGGATCAGATGCTGAGTCGGGGGTGTTGCCCAGAACCTTTGGATGCGGAGGGACGTCCGACTGGAGGGTGGGAAAGCTGGGAGTTTGGTTGTTCTGGTCGTTTGCAAGGAGACAGGGACTCTGTCTGTGCCAGCGTTGGAAGTGGGGTTCAAGAAGCTGGGGGTTTAGGTAGGGGAGGGTTGCACTAGGCGGATATTTCGTCTGAGCCCCACTTGAGGAAGGGGTTCTGTTGAAGTGAGGGTCAGAAGGGGGGTTCCACGGGCGAGAGCAGTCTGATCAGTTCAGGTGGCGGGAGGGAAAACGGCCGAGGCTTTGGCGAGGGGCGTCCCACCACGGGAGGGGACAGGGGCTGCGGGAGCGAGCCTCGGCGGCGGCGGGAGAGCCGGTGGGGAAGGTGAGGTGGCACCGGGGTCCGAGGGGCGTCGCTGGGCCACAGCAGTCGCTGCGCGGGGCGTGAGGACAGGGGGCCCACTCTCACCACCGCCCCCCGAGGCCGCGCGCGCGGCTGACGCGCTTTCTCCCTGCGCAGTGGTGATCGAGGATGACCGGATAGACGACGTGCTGAAGGGGATGGGGGAGAAGCCGCCGTCCGGAGTGTAAACGCGCCGGCTCGGGCGGCGGGCTCCGGGCCCGGCCCCGCAGCGGCCAGGAGCGCGGGCC